GGTTTGTAAACAGCAGGCCTGCCACAGGTTAGCAAAGTGCTAGAATACAACAGATATAAACCTGCTCTATCTGCTTCTCTGGCGTGCTGAAGTTACAACTGGAAGTTGTAACTTAGCAGGAGAAAGCAGTAGCCATGTTGCTGAAGCAAAAATTCCAAGAGCAGACAAATGACAAGCGACTTCCTTCTATCTGTAACCATAGTCTTTCATGTTTTCTTACCCAGCTTAATAAATAATCAAAAATTGATTTAAAAAATGACCATTTGCTTCTGAACTCTCAGTGAAGTTTGCAATCATATTGATGATTTAGGGCGAGTTCTAATGGTCAGACCCGTATCTGGTCTTTGTGAACATACTGTAACATGCTTGGCATTTCTCAGCCAGAATTCCTCTGTGTGCTGTTCTGACGTCTGGTTCGCCTTTCTGCTGTGGATTCTCTTGAAGTATTGGCCCTGAGTGCCTTCCACTCTCGGATTGTTTACAGAAAAAAGGTTTTCTGAAGTATTGACTTGACATTCAAAAAATGCAAATGAAAATCTTTGGGAACCAGTAGGTCTGGGGTCACTGTGTCACTGGGAAAGAAGAGCTGCCAACTCTCCATTTTACTGGAAAACATTCCAGGAAGTTTGTGACGGTTCAACTTCTGTAGAAGCCGTGTGGTTAATTCTTTTCAATTTTATTCAACTGTAGGTGTTTCCAGCCTTCAGCTAATGCTGCTTACTGTTGTATATTACATATTTTAAAAAGCATTTTAAAGAGTTGGCTAAAGTGGTTACTGAGTAATGCACTTCGTAAATAATGACTTAAAGGCTCTCTCCCGGACATGGAGAGTGAGGTTCCTTCTTAATCTTTAATTTCGTAATGATTTTATGTGCAGAAGCAAACTGATTTATTTCTCAATGATGTGGATCAAAAATATTGTTTCTGTCAGAGCACCATTATAGACGTTTAAATGACTGCAGTATTGATAGCTGCCTCGCCTGATTGTCCTTCCTCTTGAAGGCATTTTCTGCTGAAAGTGGTTGAACAGTGATCAAAGACGGATGTCGGCTCAGGCAATCTCTGCCTAGACAAGTAAGCTACTGTTCTATTTCACATTCTTGATAGCCACTTTCCTGCCTTGAACATGGAGATAAACCGATTGGGATGTTTTATATTTGCTTTTATATTATTTTAAATACTGTATGGTGGATGAGCAGAAGGTAAAATTATTATTTTTGTCCTTCTTTCATAATGATTAGCATAATATGACTTCTTAACAGCAGTGGCAAACAAATAATGGTGACAGTGTGGAAATAAACACAGATTCTACATTAAACCACCTGATACTAAGTGTGTCTTCATACGTCTTGTCATCTGGGAGGCCTAAATGTACTGTAGATGTTTTCTTAGCTGAGCTGAAAGAGGAATTTAGCAGATCTACTCCCTGCTGTGGGCCTGTTTTTTCTGTTCATTAGAATTCTTTCCTTGAAAGCAAACAGCAGCGTAGTCTTACATTTGTGTCTCAGTCTTCGCACTGATGTATGACCTAGTTTAAATAGTTGGAAATTTTTATTTTAATGAACATCAAATGTGGGCTCAGTGGATTCTTGCTCGAGAAGTATCAGGTTATTGATCTTTTCTTTGTGTGGGTGAAAAAGAAATACTGTCTCCTATCACAATTACTTTAATCCATTCTGCAATGGGGAATTGAAGGATATTGCATTGAATAGTTTATTATAAGTGATGTATATACTTAATGGGCAGCATGGTGACTGGATAGCATTTCTGCCTTGCAGTGCTGGGGCCCTTTGTTAAGTTCCACACCTGGAGTGCTGTCTGTGTGGAGTCTGCATGTTCTCCCTGGGGTGGTATGGGTCTCCTCCTACAGTCCAAAAACCAAAATGGTTTCTGGGAAAACTGCCCTGTGATGGACTGGCGTCCTGTTCAGGGTGTGACCTGTGTTGCTCCTGTTGCTTGCTGGGATAGGCTCTGGCTCCCCCACAACACTGAATTGGAAGAAGTGTTTAGAAAATGGTGGGCTGGACAGATACTTAACATTGGCATTAGAAGTGTGAGGCATTTTTTTAAATTCTGCTTAAGTTTTCAGCTTTATACAAGTAAACATGTTAACTTAGATCTTCGTTATATGATCAATGGCTCCGATCTCCTTGTATTCTTGTTGTTGTTTACTTCAGGGATAGCCCTGCTTCTCAAGACTCTTGTGTGTTTTGGAACTTCAGGTAAAAAAGTCCATTAAAGATTGAACTGACATACACTGAATGTTCCAAACCAAGTTTATCAGAGCTTTTTTTTTTTAATCTGTTACCTTCATCTTGGGCTTTTAGGGACTTTTTACCTGTTAACTTGATGTTAAAAGAACAGTACCTTCTGTTAGTGAACAAGTTTCTTCCATCCATCCATTTTCAAACTGCTTGATCCAATACAGGCTCCTGTGTTGGCTAACGTGGTTAGAAAATGGATGGCAAGCAACAGGCGCAAGGCAGGATACACCCTGGACAGGACGCCAGTCCATCTCAGGGCTCACAGACAGACATACATGCACATACTCATACCTAGGGTCAATTTTTTTTCAGAAGCTAAGTAACATACCAGTATGTCTTTGGACAGTGGGAGGAAACTGGAACCCCTAGAAGAAACCCATGTGAACACAGAGAGCACCCTAGGTCTAAAATTGAACCCTGCACCCCAGCTCTGTGAGGTAATGCTAACACTGCGCTCTGCACAAGTTCTGGTATTTTGCAAAACAGATCAGTAGCTGTTTCAATACATATAATAATACCATAAGTTTAGGCTTTCAGATGGAACTTGAAATGAATAAATTGCTATGTGTGGTGTAATATTGCAGTGCATATTTTTAAGTTTTCAGTGGGTCTTTTCTGTGTATATAAGTGTAGAATGCATGGCCCTGACACTTAGTCATCTCTTGTCAGCTTTTAAGCTTATGAAAAGCTTCTTCTTTCCTGCCTCCTCCCCCCGAAAAAAGAAGAAATCTGTGCTGAGTTACATTAGTGTTATTTGTATATTGTCAAGTGGTGAGAAATGTTTTACATTTACAAGTAGTTTGGCAGAAGCATGATGAGCCATTTTTTCCAGAAAATTACAATGGCATTCACACAGTGGTAAGTACTTCTTAGAGTGCTTTGAAAATGGCTGAAGTAGTTAAGTGATGCACTTACAGATGCCTGGTAATCTCTTCAGGAAATGGAATTTGAGTTTCCTTCTCATTCTGAAATCTCTGCTCATTTTTTTTTTTGCAATAGTAGCTGTTCTGTTTCTTTATATCATGGCAGTGTCTCCACATATTGCACATCTGTGTACATGTTAAAGAAGCAGTTGCAGCAAAGCTTCATATATGTGTGTAAGTGCTTTCAAAGAATGGGCAAAATTGTAAATTGGGGAAAAAGTCCGACATACAGTCGCATATTGGATACAGGGCATATTGGATCTGAGTCCTGAGATGCCTGAGCAGCCCGTTGGTACAGTGGGTTCGCTAATAGCGGTTCTGTCTAGGCGATCCAAGTTCAGTACCCGGTTCGGCACAAGTTTTTAGCCTCATCAGACCCCAGCTACAGACTGTTTGAGCCTCTACCATCTGGAAAGCGGTACCGGAGCATTCGGGCCCGGACTGCCAGACTCAGAGACAGTTTTTACCCCTGCACTATCAAACTATTAAACTCCCAGCCTCTCTCACCTAAGATCTGAACCCTTACAGTGACTTCTCTTTATTAAAACTCAAACACACATTGAAATCTACCTCTTATTTCAAGAAGTTCACTCCCCGTAATTTTCTTAATCCTTTATTTCATTCTGTTGAGGTATGATTTTGCACAACTGGTGTTGTTTTGCACATTGCCTGTTGTCTCTGTCTTTCTTTTCTTATACAATTGTATTGTTGTTGTTTTTTTTGCACTGCTTACTGTCTGAGAGCTAGCTAAAGAGCGTTTCGTTATACCATATACCGGTGTATGAGTATAATGACAATAAACTTGTACTTGAACTACTGTGTGCTTCGTGCTTGAGTCTGAGAGAAGTGGACTAGAGACTGCTGCACCTGCTCCACCAGTCTCTGTACCTGACCTTGCTCAGAATGAAACTGAGGCATGTGGCTTCTCTCCCAAGGCTGTTGAAGGGGGGGGGGACTGTGAAATGGACTGTAGCCACGAGAACAGATCGAGCACAATAGTTTTCCCTCTTCCTGTTGCTCCTGCTGAGCCACTCATGACAATTCACCAGTGTCTGTCCAGGGTTGACAGCATGCTTGCTGTCTTTCCCTCCCATTTAGAATGGCAGCCCATTGTTTTAAATAGGACACATGGGTTAATGGTGAAGGATTAACCATTCCAACGACCTCATTTCACAGTTTTCAGGGTCTGTGCTATGGGTTTTGGTAAAGCTGTCATGCATCTTTCAACAAAGCAAAACCCAAGCCTGTGTGTATGCGGAGCACACAGGACAAACTGCTGGTGCTGCCATGTGAGAGGAATTATCTTATTGCCTGCCCATCTCTTCACTAATTTATGAGGTCAGCAGAAGGTGGTTAGTCTCACGGTTATCCCTTTGGTTCATCGTATCTGTATCGTTTCATTTTGTAGTTTTTGTGAAAAGGCCAGTTTTCAGTTTTGGTTCTAGTCTGCGACAGTTATAGCAGTTCTGCCCACCACTTTAAATCAAGTTAGTACCCAGATTGTGTACCTGCTCGTTTTTCGAACTGAAATTGGTTAAGCTGGTAAAAGAAAAAAAAACACATTTTGGAGAAAGTTAACCCCATTTTCTTTCGCTGCAGTACTAAGGTCTTTTTTTTTTGCTCACGGTGCTCTTAATGGATGTATTTATTGTGCTTTCAGAGGAAATGTGTCCATTTAGCCATTCAGAGCTACAGCTTTTTAGAAGACATTCCTAAGGGCTTAGATGGGAAATCCATACATGTCTGTTTAATGCATTGCAAGGGCAGGGTGTTGTTCTGCACTCTACCGCTCTCTCCTCCTGCTCCCCACTAGGTGTTATGAGAGTGGCTGTGATGGAGAGATGATGGAGGTGGAGTCAGCATATTCGGATTTCATCAGCTGCGACCGCACGGGCCGCAGGAACGCCGTTCCCGACATCGGCGGGGAAGGAGCCAAAGTGGGAACAGGCGAGCTCACCAAAGACATGGCTCAGATGGACCTGAAAGCTCCAGGTGAGTGTGCAGGACGTTCAGGAAGCTGGCCCTGCAGGTACCCGCTTTCATTCACACGCCCCCAAAAACGCAATAGGAGGTTGTAGGTCTTCGCGGCTGGAGGCAGGGTTGAGAAACGGGTTGTCAAGCACACAGACACAAGGGGGAGGAGGGGAGGAGGTGGCCACCATGCAGGCAGGGCGCGGAGCAAGTAATGAGCTGGGCGTAGTACTCCGATCACCCAGAGTTTAATCCCATCACTCAACAATTTCAGAATGTGGACTGTCGGATTTCAAGAAGCGATTATATCCGAAAATGTATAATGCACCAAATTTCGATCATGATGGAAGGGCAGTATTTTAAGGTCGTATTTTATGATGCATACCCCAGTAGTGGTCAGTGTTAGTGGCTCACATCACTTGAAAATCATAGGGCTTTCATTTTTATCTGAAGCTGTGCTTTTCTGTTGTCTCTATCAAATTTGATAGCGTGTCAATTTTTAAAAATATTGTCTCCTTTTTGCAACCACTTGAAGGAATCTTGCATTGCTCGAAACTTTGAGGATCGGACGCGTTGCTTTTTTAAATGAATAATGAATTGTATAACCCGGCCGGAAAACTGCTTTATCTCTTGCGGTGAAAAAGAAAAATCTGCTTCCTCACTCTTTTCCGATGTGTGTGGGTTACAGCTCATTCTGGTCTGTGACAGATGACTTGATGAAAACCTACTTCAGCGTAACGTGGCCATTCTTGTATTTTTAAAACAAGCCGATCTTTGTTTAAAGCAAAGTGGAATTCCCATGGCAACCAGTTCTGTGTGGTCATTTGTTTGATTTCGCACTTTGGAGGGGAAAATGTTCAAAGTTCTCCTTCTTTCCGAGTCTGTTTTGAACAAGCTAGCTACGGTGTTGAAACTTTGTTCATTTAACAATTATTTTGCTGGAAAGTATTTGAAGCATTTATCTGTAAGACAGAGTAAAAAAAGGTGGAACTCCTTTATGCTACTTTAAACTGCTTTAAGGGTGTCCTGTAATTCACAGACGTAGATCATCCAGGAAAACTGATTATGATACTGAGGATTGCTCACAGCCTTGTCTCACCTCTTCAGAATCATCCCATCATTCAAAATCAGGCCAGACTCGTGTTGTACTTATGGGGCTGTGTTTGAAGGGTTACTTTTTACTTGTTTATTAAAGGTAGCATGAAAGACATTGTATTGTATTGCATTAGTTTATTGGGGCTAAAGCAGTGTCTTTGTGAGTTTTGTCTTATGCATTTTGTGTATGCTTCTGTTATTCTTGAAGTTATGCTGTGGAGCAGGATTTAATTAAACTCTATAGAAAGAGACCCAGAATAATTGGTTCAGAGTCGGTTTAAACAGTCGGGCCACTGTTGGAATGCTGTTTTGTATTGGGGTTTTTTTTTTTGCTTTATAATTCTGCAACTATAATCTAAACATCCAGTTTAAACTTTTTACCTTGGAAAAAATACATAATTTTTCTCTCTTGCTTTGTCTTGAAGCCATCCATATCACCAATTTGTCTGAAACTGTTGTAGAAATAAATGCTCTGCCGTGTCAAATTGTTGTACAATTTCAGCATTAATGACTGAGTGCAATGATTGTGTTTTGCAGAAGAGGAAGGCACGATAGCATCGCAGAGCTCCCAAGGGGAGGTGGCTGGGAGTCAGGAAGGACAAGAGAAAGAGGGACCTTCTTAAATGAACTTAGACTGCCAGGAACAGGCCTCCAATCAACAGACCCACTAACACTATCAGACTCCCTCTGGAGAGAAACTCGGACAGAACCCTTTCGTAGATCCACTGTGTCCCGTGGGAGTACCATGGAAAACAAGAGTATCCCATTTCATAAAACCTCAGAATAATTTCCTGATGTTGGATTCTTGGGAACAATACAGAATTAAAAAAAAAACAAGTTTGTTCTTGGGTGTATCCTCTAATTTGTGACAGAGCCTTTCTTTTGGTTTTCTTTGTGATTCCACTCTTTGGAATGGATTTTGTATGCTGCAATGATTCCCACTGGATAGGATATTCCAAAGAGTAGCAATCTTTTTCTCATCCAAAAAAGGAACAGAAAAGACAACACACATCTTCTACAAGTTTTGGAAAGAAAGATGTTTCTGATTTAAACCTACCTAGACCTAAAATGTCAAGCCCCATATTACCAAAAGCAGTCCTAATTTTGTATATACAATTTATATATACATTTATGTTTTTTGTTTCTTTTCTGAAAACCATTTTCTGTCTCTGTTTCATATCTGACCAACCTTTAATATCACAAATATTGTATTTCGTTGACTATGAAACATGCCTATACTTTAGGAGATAGTATTTATTTTAGAACGCTTTCTGAGATATGTTTGTAATAGAGTTTTGAAAACAAAATAAATCAAAAGTACAGTATACATATTTTTACCTGACAGTCTCTTAACAATAATTTGGCATTTTTTCTTGCAATGCAAAAGGTTTCTGTTTTAATTTTTAGTTGCTGTCCAGAATAGAAAAAGTTAAATATACATATTAAATAAATCGGTGGATTTATTATTTCAGCTTTTTTGCTATGAAAAGCCCATTGACACTGTCTTTCATTAAGAGGTGGTGTTTGTTAATTGTGGTAGTTATTTTAACCTTTGAGGCTGGAAGAACAATATGAAAACACAGAAACTAATTGTCTTGCACTTGGAATTTTACAGTGATATTAGCTTATGCTCACTTGGGTCAACAACAAAAAAATAGTTTCATCTCCTAGACTGAGTAAAATGATGCAATAATGTCTGACTGCCTTTTAACCAGTAATTGGTTTGGTTATGCTTCTGGAAGTGGTTTCTCCTGTGTAATACAGTCAGCTGTTGCCATAGCTGCATTTTTATACTTTTTCTTCCCGTAAACCTGCTAATAATGAAACGTCTTATTCCAGTAAGTCTCATAGAAGCTCAGAAAGTTCAACGGGAGCCTCGTTCTTTTGGGTTTTTAAAATAGAGCTGTTCTTTCCTTTGCTTTGGGCTGCAATTTATGGTTGGTTGTTAAAACAACTTATTGGAAATAACTCGCTGAGTATTACAGATTATTGCTGTAGTGCACAAGAGAGACATGCAATGGAAGATCTTGAAGCTGGGGGACTATCCTCTTATGTAAGTAGTACCTGTTATGTGGCCGAGTTCGTTAAAAAAAAAACCTCTAGCAGGTAGTTTAGGTCTTGATGAGCCTCAAACCTAAAAAGTTGGGCTCGTTTGTTAGCCCCCTTTCTCTGTCTCACAGTGCAGAGTTATTGTGCTGCAGAAGTGAGGATAGGTTGTCGGTAGAAAAGACTTGTTAATAGGAGACTCCCAGTTGGGGAAGAGAAGGGGGCAGTGGGTTCAATTCTGTACTTGCTTACCCGTATGGGGTTTGTGTGTTCTCTCTGTATTCGGGCGAGTTTCCTCTGGGCGCTCCGGTTTCCTCCCTCAGTCCCGAGACTTGCAGGTAGGTTCACTGGCGTCTGGGCAAACGGGCCCCGGTGTGAGTCGTGTGCGTGTTTGGGCGGTGGACTGGCGTCGGACAAAGAGGTCGGGAAACGGACGGACGGAAGGTTGCCCGTTCAAACCCCCGCTGACTCACCGTGCGTCGCCCTCGGCGCGCTGCTGAGCCTCCTTGTCCGCCGACTTGATGAAACGCCAAGACCAGAGCCCTGGGGTGACTCGGCAGACACAGCTGTGGAAGGAGCCCTTCACCACATGGAGTTGCAAGTCTCATACTTTTACTGCACAGCTGTGTCCTATGTGCAAACAAAAGGAGACAGACAACGACTGGAACTTGTTGACCTTCCCGGACCAGAACAGTGTGTTGCAGCGCATATACAGAAGAGATGAGCGGCTCTCTGCCAGCTGTATCGCAATAACTGGTGCCGTCTTGTGAGTAGATAGATCGCAGCGCAACACATTTTACTTAAGCCTCTGTCGAGACATCACAGGCAGATGCCAGCTATCTGAGGTTTGAGTCCTGCAGCTGTTTCACCAGGTAAACTGCTGGAAATCCCCTTACTGTTGTCTGACTTTGTTCTTTTTTGTTTGGCTGCTTAATCCCAAGTTTTTTCAGAACAGCTGTCACACAAAAATGCTAAGTAAAAAACAATTATCGCCAAACATACTCCTCTAGACTCCCTGTGCAGCTTTCTGATGTCCGACTTTTTGATCTTCAGATTCGTCTTTTCGCATACCCCAAGCTTCTCTCCCTGTCTGTGTGTCTCATGGAGAGCAAGCTGGGGTCTGTGAAAAGACGAATTCCTAATGCAAGAAATTGTATATGGCCAATAAAGTGATCTTATATCTTATACTAAATGATTTTAATTTCATAAAGAAAACTGGAAAGAAAAAAAAAGGCTCATTTGAGGTAGCAATTCAATTATTGAATAGTGTTTAATGGCTTTTAGTTTTTATATTGTTTTTGTGTTTGCCAAAATATAATCTATTTTTGTATTTCCGCAGCCAAAGGCCTTTAATTAACCAAATTAAACGCCTAATAGGCGAACATGATGGCCCTATGATAAGGATATTTGAGCAGGCATGTTGTAACACTGAGCAGGACTTTTTTCCACTTAAGTGGCTCAAGTACTCCCCCTATTGACTGGACACCTCACTTGCACCTTATTCAGCGCAAGTAGTCCGTGAGGTGTGTTACACAAAGCTACATGACGCTGCCGTTACCTCCATATTCTCAATTGAAAAAGAGAAACGTGTGTTGAATAAAATCAACATCTGTAATCTGCTTTTTTTCCCCCTCGGCGCAAGCAGGGGAGGGGGTAGAAATGCTCTAAACCGTATTTCAGATTTTAGTTGGTTAGAGCTGAGAAAAAATAGAATTATGTCGGGAAACTGTAACATACTTTAACAAAAATGAACCTGTTTTGCTTTTCAGTGGTTTGCGAGTCCACTTCTGACTCATAACAGATTTAGGTTTGTGTATATCAAAAAGAGGAGTGTGCCATTAATGATTGAATACTGACTGAGACCAGTTAGTGCAATTAATGAACTGTTTCACAAGATGGAATGTACAGTATAGTATTTGCAGTGTGCAGCACCCCAGAGGATTTGTGTTAATTTGAAAAAAAAATACTGTAAATTATTAGTGCATTGCAGCAGATTGTAAGGGTACATCAGGACTAAAGGAATTGCTCCACTCATTGACAAAGGAGAAGTAGAGATTTGTGCCATATTGCCCTACAGCTCACCACCGGCAGCTCACTGAAGCTCAGCAGGTGTGAGCCTGGTAAGTACCTGGATGGGAGACCTCTTGGGGAAAAACTAAAGTTGCTGCTGGAAGAGGTGTTAGTGGGGCCAGCAGGGGGTGCTCACCCTGTGGTCTATGTGGGTCCTAATGCCCCAGTATAGTGACTCTGTCGTTTGGAAGAGATGTAAAACCAAGTCCTGACTCTCTGTGCTCATTAAATATCCCTGGGCGTTTCTTGAAAAGAGTAGGGGTATTACCCTGCCGTCCTGGCCAAATTTCCCATTTCAATCATGACCATAATCCCCAACTATGAACTGGGTTCATTTCTCTGTTCTCCCCACTGATAGCTGATGTGTGGAGAGTGTACTGGTGCACTATGGCTGTCGTCACATCATCCAGGTGGGGCTGCACACTGGTGGTGGTGGAGGGATCCCCATTACCTGTAAAGCGCTTTGAGTGGAGTGTCCAGAATAGCTCTGTATAAGTGTAAGCCATTATTATTATTATAATTATTGCAATTTATACCCCTCTGTGATATGAAAGCATCTTTTTTGACTTTTCATTTGCCTATTCATGGGATAGATGTGTTCAGTTCTTCAAACATAAAATCTTCAAGCTATAATCCCGTATTCTCTACCGATTGCATGTCGAACCTGTCTATACCTTTGGTTCAGACTGTGCAATTTCAAAAGGTGGTGCACTTTAATGCACAATCACATAGGAGAGCGAGCCTTTATGGACTGTTGTAATTTTGTATAAGACGACTCTCATAGGCATTCTGTTCAGCAGAAAGCAATGGAGAACCATGTCTGCCTCTTCAGTTTCATCAGGTATGTTGACATACCTGATGGTTTTATCCTAATCTGTGGGAAACGAAAATTTCCCTTTCCACATGCATTCCTGATTTTATGATGAGCCTGCAATGCATTTGCTACATTATAAGAATTTGCTGGTCTGTACCTTACTCTTAATACTACACCCTTTGAATGTTTTCATAAGTCCGAATCATAGTTAATGAATCCCTGTTCATCTACTTCAGGGGGTCTCTAACCCTCATGCTGGGAAACCCTAATCCAGCAGGATTCACAGGTAGATTTTAAAACACAAATTCCTTTAAGTCTGGAACCATTTAACTATGATAAATTAAATAGGTGTTGTGTTTAATGAAGTCATTTACAGATCAATTGGAACAAAAATCAGAACATTCAACCCTCAGGGACAAATGATCCCTTCATTGAAACACTTGTTCGATCATTTTGTTTAAAACGTGTCCGTAAGATTTAAATAACGGGCAATTTAGAGTGATTATACACCGTAAGATTAACCGGTCTGGGCTCCCCCTGAACCAGAGTTTGAGACCCCTGAACTAGTGTGAAGCTCCTGTTCCTGAATGGCTTTTTGGTTTATAATACCACACCTCAGCCTCGCTCTGTCTTTTTTCTGTGTCCCTCAAAAGCTATCTACTAATACTGTATCCTACACCTTACCTTATTCTAGTCACTGTCAAACCACTTTTATAACAATCATGTGCTTATGCCGTAGATTCTATCTCTTCTGTCTTTAAAAGCAGAAATCAGGAGGCTGGACAAAGCTAACCATGAATAAGCCGAAGCTTTCCTGACCTTTCTGTGGGGATTTCTGTGTGAGAAGAAGACAAAAATAAAACCCGGCAAATGTTTTGCATACATCTTGCAAAAAGTTTATTTGTTCTCATTCCGTACAGAGAAAACAGCTGAATGTTGGGGGGGGGGAACATGTCAGTTAAAGAAAATTGAACTAAAAGATGTCTGTAAGGGGGCTCATCTGCTGAGCCAGTTAACAGAAGTGTCCCCCACCCCTCCCGCGATATCTAGACTGTGGGGAACTCTGCTGTGGCTGTAGATCTGGCCTTCAGTGTGGCAGAGTTAGCTGCTGTCTGAGGAGTGGCGCTGTGCTTGCTGGGAGCCTGGGGGTGTCTGGGATCAAATCCCAGCAAGGGGCAGGGAGAGCTACACTCGTCATATCTGCATGTGAAGAAAAAAGGAACATACAAGTACTTGTTACCCTTTTTCTGCTGCATGCAGTGCATTTGCAGGGGCCTCCAATGCTCGTTGAAGACTGCACAGAAGACCCGTGACGAATGGTTGTCCTAGCCCAAACCTGTTTCTTTGTGCCTCTTAACTGTTGATGATTTTAAGTGAGGTTACCTATTTCCTGGTCTTCCGATGTGACAATCCCACAGGTTTCTACAAATTGGCCATCTCAAGCGGAGCATTTTTAACCCACATAGGTCTGAACCCGTCCTGTAAGGAGACCCCAGACAGCTGCTCAAATGTGATCTTCAAAGCCCAGGATTGGGAATCTCCTGCTGTCCTGCAACATCGCCTTTCTCATAGTCCATTGTGTTCAGAAGTGGTACCGTTTGCTGTGAGCCTGAAATAATGTTTTAGCTAATGAGGCCTTTGTGGCAGCTAAGCTGTCCCCGTTATAAAAATATAAAACAGATAGTCCCCTCCCATTCTAAATAAAATAAATGGGAGCAGCATTGTCAGTTTAGTCAAGTTTGTGTAAAAGAATACAAAGAGATTCATTTTTTAATACAGGATGTCAGGACTGTGTGTTCGTTTTGTGTAGCTGTGGACAGCAGCATATGTTTATTGCAATGCTGAGTGTCTTGTATAAAACATTTGACAGGTTTTCCCCAGATGCATCTTCCGATTCTCAACTGGTGCAGCGTATGGCATTAATGATACTAACGTCAGGTTAACACCTCGCATGAGTATAGCCCTTTGTCATCCTTGAGGACTGCAAGCCCCTTTACAGGCAGAAGAGGGCTCAGTTCTTCCACCGCTGGGGACCTGCGCCAGCCACTCACATCCACAGCTGCCGAGGTGGAGATGGCACTGCTGAGCCGATTCAACTGCACGGGGAAATTTAGATCTAGCCAGGACACTGGGGTTGTTTTCCCCTTCGGGATTTGAAATGGCACCATGGGATTGTTCATGACAACTGGGACAGAAGGCTTTCTACTTTGCAAGCCTGGGCTTTCTGAACGAATGGCACAGTATAGGAGAAATGGCACAAAGCCCTTTTCCTTAACCGTTTGGGTCCTGGGTTTGGCCTGGAAGGAGGTTGCCGCTGTGAGTGTTCTCCGAGAAGTGGGGAAGTCAGTGTTGAAGGAGAAGTGTCAGTATGTGGGACAGGGGGTGTTGTGAGGGCGAGAGGTTTAGGATGGTTCTTTTTTTGGAAGCAGTTGGCTCTGTCTTCAAAACCTGCTGGACTCCACCATTCCGTAGGCTTCGTGGAGATGGTTGAGCAGGTCCTTCTTCTCCTTCTCCGGCAGGAAGCTCGACTGCGCAGATTTTAGATTCTGCAGGAGAGATGAGGGAAGAAAGCAAGCGATTCTATTAATGCCTTGGAACTGAGAAGCATCCAGGTGAATCTGTGGGTTTTCTGTTCTTGTTTTAGGAATGAATCCTTTCAGCTGATCATCCCGAAGAATCATTTGTTGAGTCGATGGCGATGGGTGTGTTAAAACCAGTACAGGAAAAAATAGTGTACTGTAGGTATCTTCTGCCAACTCCAGTAGAGATGAAGCAGACAACAAATTGTCCTGTGGAATCAATGTCAAAAGCACAGAAAATGCTACACTAAACTATAAAAACCCTAAAGAGCTGGGCTGGTATCGTAGGCTGATATACGAGCTCTAGTTAGACAAAATACTTTGCGTTTCTCAAATACTTTGTTTCTTTCAAACACCTTACCTCAGTTCTGAAATAACTTTGCAGGACTTGTTATGGCACATTAATGGTCTGGTTTGAAATTACCCAAATGATTTCAAAGGAAATGTGATTTTTCAATTATGATTGTGGCTGCACTAAAAGTCACAGTCTTAACCCAAGAAACAAAACATAGAAAAATTGTCCAGGACCATACAGCATATAAATGTGAATGCACTTAAGAAATCACATCACAGCTGTTAATCACTGGTCAATAACATTGTCTACAAAATAATATAAAAAGTGATTCTATTAGTCAATGTGATTTGTATTGCACCTCAAATCAGATTAAACTGAACTTGTTTTGATTCCAGAATTGGTGAAACTCAACTGTTTGAACATTAGGAACTTGATGCTGAAGTTTCTGCAGGAAACGCAAATCCTGTTTGTTTTTTTTGTTGTACCACAACTATGTGTATAATCAAAATGGATGACCGGCTGAACCGATCATGCAGAAGGCTTCTAGATATTCTGACTCACTGCATCTTTGCGGTTAAGCTGAGATCTCTTTGGGTGAGGAAGAACCACACCAAGACTCCTTACCACTCGCTTGAATTCCTCCTCGGTGAAGCCCATGTACTTCGTCACTACCTTGTAGTCTGAGTTCAGAGTGGAGTTGAATATCAAAGGGTCATCTGTGTTCAAGGAGTAGTTGGCCTTGTCTTTTTTAAACCTGGAGAAAGACAACAGATCACAGCTTGAAGATGATTCTCAGCTGCCTTTTTTAGGATCCAGTTTAGATGGAACGAGGTTGCGACGATATGCGTTTTAGAACATGCCAAGTTGTTTCTTGTCACTCTGGGATAATAAAAACCCATACCTGAGGAGAGGGTGCTTTGTGAAATCTGCAGGGCAGCCGCCTGTTAATCTACTGGACACTGGACACACCTGAAGGAAATCATGTAAAACAAATTAAAAATTCTTCTCTCCTTAATTCAGGCACAAGTCACTTATTCCTGATCAGGCTCATAGTTACCTATACTGGAAGCACTGGGCACACATTATTTTATATCCTGGACAGGAAGCCACTGTAGGGCAGATGTGCAATTTAGAGACCTTTATTACCCTCCCCAGCATAGGTCTGGAATGTAAAAGAAACCAAACCCAAGTAAAATGGATATAAACACTAGGATTAACATGCAGGCTCCACACGGAAGGTGTCACCATCCAGAATCAAACCCCAAATCCAAGACTGTGAGACTGCAAGCGCTGACTACCACACCACCCTGTCACCTCGCAGAACCTCAACATGATGTAACTCGCAGATAAACCTCAGCATCTAAGGACCGGGTTTTGCCTGTTTCTACCACCAGAGGGCATTGAACGACACCTCAAGCTGTCTCGCAGCTGAATTATAATAATAATAATAATTGATAATTGCTTACACTTATATAGCGCTTTTCTGGACACTCCACTCAAAGCGCTTTACAGGTAATGGGGACTCTCTTCCACCACCACCAGTGTGCAGCTCCACCTGGATGATGCGACGGCAGAACGCTCACCACACACCAGCTATCAGTGGGGAGGAGAGCAGAGTAATGAAGCCAATTCATAGACGGGGATTATTAGGAGGCCATTACTGATAAGGGCCAGGACGCCGGGGTTACACCCCTACTCTTTACGAGAAACACCCTGGGATTTTTAATGACCACAGAGAGTCAGGACCTTGGTTTTTACGTCTCATCCGAAGGACGGCACCTGTTTACAGTAAAGTGTCCCCTTCACTATACTGGGGTATTAGGACCCACATAGACCACACTAACACTATGCTGGCCCCACTAACACCTCTTCCAGCAGCAACCTTAGTTTTTCCCAGGAGGTCTCCCATCCAGGTACTGCCTAGGCTCACACCTTCTTAGCTTCAGAGGGCTGCCAGTTGTGAGTTGCAGGGTGATATGGCTGCTGGCTGTTTTCTGAATTATTCTCATACTTTTGTAACAATCAGACTAGAGTTTTAATTTACTGGATGAAAAGGAAGGAACTTGAAGTTCTGTTCTGTATGTTCTCTTGTTCAAAAAGCTGACCATAAAAATTGAAGAAAAAAAAACTGCTGTTAATACTACCCTAGCCATCACAGGCACTGATTAAGAAAAATGTCAATTTTAACCCCCCAAAACCTCCTTTTGTGTCAATTTGGATTCTCGGTGCGATTTTCTTTTTGCTTTTGCACCATTCACCCGACTGTAGCTTCAGTGGGTGACCTTTGACTGCACACCTCCCATTATCCTTCGTACGCTCAGTGGGCAAGAGCTGAACCGCTTCCAGAGCCCGAAGCACACAATACTTCCCCAACCGTATTCCATCTCCCTGATTTAATTGCTACATATGGTAATAAACGAACCAGAATGCATGTTCTGCTGACCGTGGAAGGACCTCATTAGTCTCATTTTGGAGAAACTTTAAATGAACCTCTGGATGTGCACAGGGTGAGCTGACTGGAACCTTGCCGTTTCCTAAGCTGTTTGCCATCAGACTGTGCCCAGTGCTTTCTGATGGCAGTGTTCGGAGATTGCTATTCCTTAATCGTTAATAAATTAGGTCAGGAATGTCAGGAATTTTAAACAAAAGAGCCAGACGATACCAGTGGGTACATAGTTTTTGATATTTCCATTAAAGTGTATGTTAATCCTTTAGCTAACGTAACAAATAAGCCTCCTAAACAAATTCAGTACTCGCTGTTTTTTGCTGCCTATTCTGAAATCCAGCTTTGTAAGATTCACAACTACCAAGTGGCAAGTGTGTCTGTGGGAGCACAACAGCACGTTCTGGTCCAGATCACGTCTCGGAATCTGAACTCCAGCCCAGTGACCCAGTGTGCTAGGATTGTTACTTAAAGTTTTCCTGGAAACATCTACAAGACCTTTAGCACAGCACTCCTCCTGTTTGTAAAGGCACTCATGGGCTTTATCTTTGCTTAGTCAGTTATTGGGTAAGGAATCTGGACTGGAGATAATGATTCTCCATGTCCCAGATGTCACATGTACAAGCTATTAGCCCCTGCAGTTATGGCAATGATTAATGTAATGAATAGAAAACATGTAATCTCTCCTCTTTGTGCTATGTAGAGGTTCATGCTATACAGTAAATACCAACAGCACTGATCAGCCTGTGATCTCCCTTCTGTAAGGAGTCAGGAAGTCACTGAAAATCAAACCATGGTTAATAACTGAAGGGCAGCCTAGTGGCACAGTGGTAAGCAGTGTTGCCTCGCAGAGCTAGCGGGACTGGGTTCAGTTCCTGGAGTGCTACTGTGTGTGCGTGGAGTTGGTATGATCTCCCCATGTTCAAGTGAGTTTCCTCAGGCTGTTCCAGTTTCCTCTCCACAGTCTAAAAGACATGCTGCTGGGTGAACTGGGTTCTAGGAAAACTGGTCCTGGTGTGAGTGTGTGCGTTTGTGTCTATGTGTGCCCTGCAATGGACTGGGATCCCATCCAGGGAGTCTCTTGTTTGGATAAAGTGGTTAGAAAATGGATGGATGAATGTAATATATTAAGCCCTGTCATTTAAGGCCACAAATCCATCAAAAACTCATGCTCTAGCCTATACGAGGCCATGGTTTTGTTCTCAGCTTTGATTTGAGAAAAGTGGGGTCCCTGGCCAAACAGGATCCTCTGGAGAACGTAGAGACTGGAAAAATTAGTGGTAGCTAATGAAGGTCTGGTACTTGGTGAAGTTTGAGAAGTTGAGGTATAACATTTGTTGTTAAGATGAAAGCTAGGCATTAAGACCTAAAGTAATCTGGTGTTTCCTGTTAAAGTGAATCGCAATTAAGGAAGTGAAGACTAAATACTGGGTGCCAAGTTGTGTCTAATGCTCCAGTGACCACTGATTAAGAGACTTAAGAGTTAAGATGGAAAATATCCAAAACCAGGAGTAACTGAGAGGAGAAAGTATGAATGCAAGTGTATAATCTTCCCCAAAAGGGGACCAGTTTGTTGGATCTAGGTTCAGAAAGGGGGCTAGAAAGACAAGTACAGGCCACTGAAAACAAGAAAAACAAGTGATGTGTTGGCAGCATCAGACGTCAGGTGCTGTGTGGCGCCACAGACCAAGCACTGCAGAGGGACTTTGTTGCTGTGCATAAAGGTTCTCACCTCAAAATGCATATCCTGCTTGAGGAGCTGTCGGTAGAGGACCGGGTCATCGATCGTGTGATAGCCGTGTCCAATTCTCTCCGCTTTCAGAACCTCCACGGCCTGAAAGAAACACGGCAAAGCGAAATAAAACTTAGTGGAAGAAAAACGTATGAATAAGAAGTGAAAGTTAAGTTTCTGGTTCTTTTTTCACTTTCCTGCCCATCTCATTATAAGGGCAGGCCACTTAGCCTGTCTGGTAGTTAAAACCTAATAATCCAATAATCTAATCCAGCCTTTTCTTAAAAGAAGCCAAGATTTCAGCTTCACTGACAACTGGGTAACTTGTTCTTTTGGGTAGAGAAGTTGTTCTCGTTTCTAAAAGCACACTTTCATCTTGTGCCATCTGGTTTGGGTTTCACTGTTGACTGTGAAGAGATGAATTTGGCAGTGTGTTTGAGGACTTGTATCGGGTTCCCTAACTCTTCTCTGTTGATGAATAAAAAGGTTCCGTTCTTTCAGCCTGTAGATGTGGGCCATTCCCTTGAGCCCTGGGGTGATGCTGTTCCGATTCCAGAGCAGCAATATCTTTTCTTTAAGGCGGTGTAAACAAAGCTGTAAACATTCTATAGACCTTCCTTAAACCACCTGAACGTCTTGAATGAGTAAACTTAATGAAGAAGCACCAAATTCTCCTCTGCTCTGACATTCCCCGCAGTCTTTACTCCATGGGTGCCCTAAATCTCTTCTCAACAAGCTGCAATACTTTCAAACCTCTGCAGCTGGACTACTTACTGTACAGTACTCACACCAGATCCTGGCAGCATATCACTCCTACACTAAACTCTCCACATGGGTTGCCTATAAAGTAACGGTTCAATACAGGAACTCATTACTTTCTTCCAAGACTCTACACAATGGGCTCCATCGCACATGTCTGAGCTCCTCCATGTTTACACTCTGTGGCTCCACTCAACTGAGGCCAATCCTTCACTCACTGTCCCCAGGACTAAATCACAGACTTTTGGTGACTGTGCCTTCTCTGTCGCTGCTCGTGTTGCGGACTGACCTTCCTCAGACTTTACGAGAGACAAGTTCTTTAACTCTTTTCAAGTCTAAACTTACCTTTTTACTGAGGTCTACATCTGACTGCCCACAGTCAATTTGTAAAAACTTGTATGCTCTTGTTTTTGTGTTTACTTTTCTTGTCTTTTTCTTTATTCATGATGAACAGCGTCCTTAGCTTTGGAAAGGGTGCGTAATAAATAAAAGTTATCATCATAGTTTAGTTTATTATAGTTTCTATTTATTATTGGTTTGCGTTCTGTCCCCCTGAAACCACCTGTTTCAGAAATCATCTCATCTGCCAGAATGGCTGGTCCAGACCTCTGCTCATAAACACTCACCTCTTTAACAACGGAAGCAGGTCCAACTTCTCCGGCATGAACAGTTCTGTGAATATCACTTCGTACTGCTTCCTGCAGATAACAGTGCACACAGCACAAGGTCAAGTTGGAAAAGACAGCAAGTCGATCACTATCGCTCAACTAGTTATGTGTATTCCGAGTAAGATCTGATTTTGTTTTTTGTACTCAGAAAAATGGATTATAATTCCAGATAGATATATTATTTTTCGGAATGGTTAAATTATGAACCTTATTGCCCACAGGATTTCAGAGGGAAACTGAATTGTTTTCCTGATGTCATGCAAAAAACATGATGACACTGAGCCAGAAAACGCTACAAACCAAAAAAGGAATGCTTCAAACATTTTAGTTTCAGAGCCCAGAAGAGACCAAATGCAGCCAATGTACTGTATAAAGCTTTTCTTACAGATTAAAAATTCCCTCCAACTTTAAGAACAGAGGTTCATATTTAGTTTTTTATGTGTTTAAAGGATCTCTCTTAGCCATTGTGCATGTTGGATTTAGCCCCTTCATGCAAATCAAAGCAAAGGACAGCAAACTGGGAAACGAATTAAAGAAAATGCACAAAAGCATGGTAAACGACATGAGAAAACGAAATACCCAGTGACTTTAGAAAGGCAGACATTCATAGGGGGTGCTAATGACAAATTTGTCCTCAAAAGATTTCTTTTATTCATCGAAATTTTTATTTTTAAAATTATTATTATTATTATTTTTATTATTATTAACCAAGTTCAGTCACTTTAGTTTTGGGTTTAAGGACCACAGCTCTGTCCAGGACCCTCCGAACACAGATGCTTAAAGCTAACAGTGAACTCTGTCCATCTGGCTTACTGAGAGCTCCTTCAGTTCTGGACTTCCCAACTTTTCACTCAAGACTCACCCTGGAGGTCTTCAGCCAATGGATCCGAGTGTGCATTACTCCTGCGCCTTGTGATAAAAATATTGGTGCTGCACAATGCATCCTGCCTTTGGTTGTAGGGTGATCGCATAATGTATAATTTTTTCTACCATGAAAGAACAGTATGTCTCACAAACTACTCTTTTTAATACCTTCCCTATTTCTTCAATAAAAAAAGGCTTAGTTTCAATATCTTAAAAGGGAAGTACTGTATTTATTATTCTATGATCTGAAAAGAGTTATTAAAGAGTCAGCAATGTCTGGTTGCTCATCGATCTTTTGCCTCCTCGTTATCCTGAAATTAATTTACCATAACAGGAAAACACGGTGCTGCAGATTGGTTTTGTCAGCAAAGAAAGCTCTGGCACCGACAGAGGGAGGAACGAGGGGGTACGCAGATCAGTCACCCAAGGGGGAGCAATGGTGACATAGGTCAGGAAATGTCATTGGAAAAAAGAAACACCTCTGACATCAGTCCATGCCGTTTCCGAAACAAACAAGAATTCCAAGTTATTTTCTGGCCACATGTCCTGCAGACAAACAATAAATCTGCCCTATTAAGAAAAGCCTATGAGGATGTGAATCATTTTTTTTTTTGTTACATTACAGAGAAAAACAGAGGGCCAGCATTGACACACCCAAAACCCACCCTGCAGAAATTCTAACACTGCTGGCCTAAAGGAACTTGAAAAATGAACGTAAAGACGGGTTGTGTTCTTAAGCTAAATGTGGGTTGATTCAGCACCTCATTACTGCACCTTGATAGAACACTACAAGAGCTTTGGGCAGCTTAACGTACAACCTCTGAGCACTCCATTCTTGACTCATGTCTCCCTGCCAATTAAGAGACAAGATTAGCAGCCTTAACCCCGTTAAAGTGGCAGCGCTCAGCACACAGTGTAACTGTGCAGAATGCCAGGTGCAATGACCCATCCTGAATGTGGCTGGTTGAATCATTCCAATGGAGGCTGCCAGCAGTGACATACCTCTCTGTGAAAGACTTCCCTCCAAACATTTAAACACAAGGATGAGTGCTGACACAGTTGTACAGTCTTGGAGAGTGCAGTGCCTGAAACAGTCCTGCTGCTCCGAACGAGTTTCACTGTGGGCAGTGCCAGCACGTCAGTCACAGGGCTCAAGTATCTTGTGGCTTAAATATGGCTGCAGGGAGCTGGGCTCTGAAACTGGTCACTCTGGTGCCAGAGGAGAGGAGAGGAGCTCACAAAAAAGCATAGCAGCTAGGATTCCCTGAAACAAGCCCAGGGGGTTCTTGAGATGTGATTCACCAACAGTTCTAGGGGCATTCTAGGGCGTTGTGGTATCGACATCTTAAGAAGAGTTCTGCGTAGCTAGAATACTGTACCTGCCTGAAACTTTCCATGACGGAAAGAAGGGTACTTTAAGATCCTGGGATCTTTCAGAAGACAGCCGAGTGCTTGCTTTATACTTCTGAGCCTCATCTGACTTCTTCTACATGTCTTTTTACAGTATAGTGTGAAAAAAGGACTGTGTCTTTTTACAATATAATGTCCCCACCACTATACTTTGGCATTAGGATCCACATAGACTGCAGGGTGAGCGCCCCCTGTTGGCCCCACTAACACCTCTTCCAGCAGCAACCTTAGTTTTTTCCCAGGAGGACTCCCATCCAGGAGGTACTTGCCAGGTGTGAGTTGCAGGGTTGATATGGCTGCTGGCCATTTAGAATCAGATTGTTAACAGTGAGGTCACTCCCCTGAGCTCTCAAGAGTATCCAACAGGCCTGACTTCACTGGCTGCGCTGATGGGGTTCAGTGGTGTGTCTGATACAGCGGTTTGAACTGGGCATCGGGCCGTCCCACGGTGTTTCCTGGTAGCGGGACTTACCTCGAAGGCCTCCCGGTGAGCTTGGTTGGATATGCAGTCCATTGACTCGTCTCCCGCGAGGTCAATGGCCACCACGCCGTCACCGCGGTACTTCTTACACAGCTCCACCACCTCGTTGGACCAACCTGCTCACGACAGGGTTCAAGCCGTCACGGGACGCCCACAGCGCTGCGGGACATGTCCAGCTAACGGTGCCGAGGTTGGGCAATCTCGCAGGAAACCTTGGGCATAACACAAAAAAAAATCCTTCCCAACGTTTCATCCACTACAGGGCCGTGGGAGCCTATCTCGGCAAGCCACGGGCACAAGGCAGGGTACGCCCTGGGCAGGACGCCAGTCCATCGCAGGGCCACATGCAGACACACACACACTCACGCCAGGGCCAATTTTCCCAGAATCCAAATAACCTACCAGTATGCTGTGTTAGGAAACTGGAGTGCCCAGAGCAAACTTATGTGAACACGGAGAGAACATACAGACTCCATGCCCAGGCAGCAGGTATCGGGTACGAGGCATCACCCAGGTATCTATACAGATACAAGCCCAGGTCCAGAACTGCACACTGGGCCCCGGCACCATGAGGTAGCAATGCTTACCACACGCCGCTGTGCTGTCCCCTTGTTACTCAATGAACTAATAAAAATCTCTTAAACCCACAACGCTGAAAAAGTGTGAAAACGGGACTTTGAGTGGTATATCCTAAATGGGTAAACAGAATGATAATTATATTCGCCATTACATGGATATCTGTATTTAGTGCGGATAATATTTATAAGAGTCTCTGTAGCCTCTGATGTTATATGTAGGTAAATTATTTTCAAAACGCAAATACATATTTTACTAAATCCAAAGGTGTTGGAAAATCAAGGCTTTTGTATGGTGCCACACCATGAACCACATTAAAGACCTTACTCCAAACTACAAGTAATACACCCTGCCATCATTTTCGAACCAAATACTGTATTTCAGAATGACAGCTGATTGCAGCTTTAGGAAAGAGGTATTGGGTGCTAATCTGGAAACTGTATGGCAGACGATATCGCTTGCATAGCGTGGGGCTCTTGAGTGACAGTGCCTGTGTGCACAGGGGTGTTTGCAGTAATCAGCACTGGGAAAAAAGTTTACTTGGTCACCAAACACAGTACATTTAAATACCCTCCTGACCACAGCTGAAATGTCAAGCCCAAAGCACAGAAATGTGCAACTTTGGCTTTATGTTCTTCCTATCTTCAGTTTTATGATCGCATGCAATTCAGAATATTTAGTCTTTCAAAGAGCCACTCCTCACAGACCCCTGTGACATGTTATATGGCAGTGAACTGCTCCACGGTTGCATAATTCAAATAACTATTTGTGTTAGATATATACATTGTATGCATGCAATTCTTCACATCTGCTGTCAATATATAATTATATAGTTGTATATATACAATATATAGTTATATTCGGTTGCAATACATTATATATATATATCGCACAAATGTAACTAGAGTAATTTACCACTTTTAAATTAAAAAATTCTTGGCAAAATCAATCCATTTGTAACACCAGATGTTTTTAGTCAGTAGTTTAAAAAAAAGCTGGCAATGAAGGAGCAACTCTGTCCAGCTGTGAGGTTCAAATCTGGGGAAGAAACACAACTACCACTTCCATCAGAGTAACAGGCTTAATTCTTGGCAGGTTTCTCAGATTGTCTCCGAAGTAGAAAAACAAATCAGTGCAACAGAGCTGGACTAAAGCTGATCTCCAACTACAACTAAACTAAAGCTGATCTCCAGGTCAAGTAACTAGAGCAAATTAAGAGACAATTAACTGAGGGCAACAGCAAGTTCAAAATCTAAGTAACATGAGGAGTATATACTGTATAAATGTGAACACAAAATAACATCTATTTTACTAGGGGGATCATATTTTAATATGGCCTTTTCTAAATCAGTAACAATGTTAATTTAGTTCAGAACTGGTGCTGAACGTGCACAGAAATTTATTTTAGAGGAGCAGACGCGTGTCTCTTGTCTTTTCCTTTGAACTTATGCAATTGATTTCAGTTTCCAGGCAATCCGAAAAGCCTGCCAGTGATTGAGGTGCCTGGTTACTCCGGGGCAGGTGCCACCCCAGGGGGTGAGGGCATTGTGAAGGGGCTCTTTCTTTCCCTGGCACACAGACAGCGGGCTACGGCCACGCAGAGAGGTGAGCAGTACGTTACTTGGCATGTGACGCATGCAGCACAGAATGGACCTGGCTTTAATGTTGAAGGCCTGCTCTCCTTCCCTCAGCCCCTGGTTAACCAGATTAACCACGTCATCGGGCGTCACGTCACCCCTGCGGAAAGAGAGGCAAAGCCCATCAGCCTGCGAAATCCCCCCCTGAGCCCACCCTCTGCCACCTCAGCCTCTCCTGACATGCCAATCTCTGCTGGGCCCTGTTTCCGCACAGCCTCGACCACCTAAAGTTCTTCATTTCGGCAACTTAGAAACGTGGGCACTGGGCAGAATGCAAACATGAATAAAATCGGAAGAAAAAAAAAACGTCTGACTTCAATACTCCTTGAACAATGTACATCAATGACAAAAGAAAAAAAACGATATCTGGATATCCGTTGCTGACTTTGTACACCTGGTTTTAGAACTTGAAGTTTAATGTTTATTTACAACTAACACAGCTCTCCTTATAACTCTGTATCTGTATGTTTCAAACACAAATGAAAATGTGATGATGCTGTAAAGTGCCATTAAATGTACAGTGTAGGTCTACTTGTGTAAAATACATGAAGTTCCACACTATTTACATTTTAATGTCCACTTCTTCATTAAATCAGTTGGGCTCTCAAAAAGTAATAGGCGACAGGCTCTTAAATGCAAGAATGAATGTTAATAGTCTATAGCTCCTAGAATCTAATCCATATTTGTGTTGAAGAGTCCTAAACAAATTGGTAACAACTTGACGGGGTGGTTTTTTGCAGACATTATCTTTGTGTCTTCTATTTTTTCAGTTTGAAATCTATTTTGAATTTCCATTTGTACCCTGAGGATCATTTTTACTGTCTAGCCTGAAACAACTGGTTTTCCCTTTTTAATAACCTTTTTAGAAATGTTTATTATGTATACCAACACCTCATGGTTATAGAGAACCCAGAAGTTCAAAACAAAAAAAAAAGAGGCATAGTTACTTCAATCTGTCAGTTATATTCTGTTCTTTAGATCAGTGAGTTTCCTGATGGCTGTTCTCTAAACTGTCTACCATGGACTCAAGTACCAGAGAGCCCATTGACAGTTATCGCTATGCAGTGTTTTTATTAAAGAAGATGTCTTCCTTTCAGTACACAGTTTGATTCTCGCTTATTCTATACTGTACCCACTTCCTGTTGACATCCTGTGAGTGTACATAGTCAAAGTATGGCACATTCATCATTGCAATGGGTTTTGGGGTTTCAGGAGAAGAACTGAAAACGCCTTTCGTTAGCATTCATGTGGGCACACAATAGAACAAAGAGAAGTACAGTGGTTTCTTCTCTTCAGAAAGCAAAACGTGAAAGAAACACATCCATTGTGTTCTCTAAAATATCTATGTACAACAAATATTAGTATAGGGTCTAATTTAAATGAAAACTTCTACTTTCTCACCAGTTTCACAAATTAAACCTGACGGAATTTCTTGTTAAACTTTCTTCATTCTACATAACAGAAGCTCGCCATTTAGTACTGAGTTTGTCATGTGAAACTGGAAGTAATTTGCATGACTCAGTCGAGTTTTTGATTTAATCAGGCACCTGATTTACTTCCTTATTTTCCTTGATATGACAAGGACAGGAAGGAGGCAAGGAATAATTGGCTGTATGCTGTACATTTTTGAAATTGCTTTTCTACTTGGATTAAATTAAACAAGGAATGACTTCACTAAGTGAATACAAAAATGCCCTTTGCCACCTCTTAAATATGTTTGGATTGTAACCGTGGCAACACTGGAAGTTTGTCCATATCTTGTTAGTGCTCTGAAAAAAAAAATTATTGTAGACAAAGCCTTTTTGGTCAACAAGGACACATGAGAGTAAAGTTATTAGGTCCACTGCCACAGACTTTCACAAGCACGGCATGAAAGCTCCACAACTTACGGTGTTTGGTTCCAACTGATGGGGTTCACCATACAGTTTGCCAGGAAATGGGGGCTGTACCTGGTTTCCACATATATCACCCCTTCTTTGGCCTTGGTCTCCACAAATTCAAAAGCTATTCTTTTAATAGCTTCCCTGTCACCCCTGCCAAAGACAGAAAACCAGAGAAATACATCTCAGAAACATCCTGCGTACCCTTATCAACCCCAGGGCCAGTAACAGTGGACGATGGGCTTCTGTCACTCACAGTGTCATTATCAAGGATGAGTGTGACATGATAATTAAACTCTCTAGTTAAATACATCTCACAACACATGTATACAACAGAAGGATTGCTTTACACGTGTCACACATTTTAGATTTCATAATTTAAAGACATTAAATGAAAGTACTATTATTTTTATCTGTCCATCCAACATCTACAGTAACTGCTTTATCCAGCTCAGGGTAATGGGAGAGCAACATGGATAGGAGCCATTGATCATACAAGAAAGATATACGTTAATCTGTTTAAATGTATGAAGCTGAAAACACAAGCCAGTTTAAAACAAAACGCTTGACACTTTCATGGCAATATCAAGCATCTGTCCATTCATCCATTTTCTAAACACCTCTAAATTAATTCCATATACAACGTGCACTGCATGAAATGATAGGGCTCTTCTTTGATGGAAACACATTATCCTCTGTCCCTGATGGGCATGTTGTTCTCTGCAGCCTGAAGGCCACTTCTGACTTCCTCTGACTGAAGGTCTCTACAAGGAAGGACATTCAAGAAGCCAGACAATTTGCAGATCTGTTCTGGATGCGTTATGAAGTCAACAGGTTTCCCCAGCTCCTGTTTCGTGTTTTATAAAGTACAGTACATGAAGCATGAAGCTCTAAAGTGCAGGAACTACAGTAAAGCGAACATGTGGAGTAAACGTTTCAAAAAGGATGGGTACACAGTATTCAGTTACCATGGCAATCTTTTGCAAGGTGTTGTTTATTTCAATCAATCTGGCTGTTTACCTGATTTTCTTTGCAAATAAAAACGTATAAAAGACAATAAAATGCCAGTGAGAATTTTACATTAAAAATCCACATCCCTGAGTATTTTCTGCTGCACTCGGTGAAACTGTTTTTCTTTTTTTTTTTGCTTTAATATGCTGGATAAACAGAAAGAAAGCTTTTCTCCTCTAGTAACCCAAATGACTAGGTAAACTCTAAAGGGAACCAGAAGAGTTCCTTGAAACAGATAACATTTCTTGAATATCACTGCCCAGAAGGGAAACCCTAAAGCCAGCACATGATGCTGTGGCGAAGCAGTGTGATGCTTTTTTATTTTTAGCACCACTGAACAACATTTCCCTCTCTGGCTTGATTTATATTTAATGAGGAGATAAAGCTAATTAACTGGCGTTAGACCGGACCTCATATCAAGAAAACAACATAAAAATAGGCTTTGTTTTGCCACCTCCAACCTAGATCTGCAAAAAGGAAACCCTTCTAGCAAACCCCAGTGAATGCTTATTGAATGGCTGTCCTATGTGAGATAAGCACAGCTAGCAGGTTCCCTGTGTTATTGCTGAGAACATCAGCCCTGATAAACAGTGGGCATTCAAGGCCTTTGATAAAGACCACTTCATTCAGCATTACTGTTAGCCGTTGTGCAACAACAGTAGGCCATTCTTTCATTCCGCAGTTACTGTTATTGGGATTTTTCGGGGCTGTGCTGCGAAATAGTCTTTTACCTTTGCAACAGATTTAACTCCATTCACTAAATCATGAAGCAATTTCAAAGCCAAGCCCTCAGTGGGACTTGCCTGCTTGAGCCAGGTCTCGTTGATGCCAGTACAGACGTGGCCTACATGCACAGTCCTGCCAGGAACACGAAGTGAAGTATTAAACAGACATCTGCCTCTCCTGTTCCCAAAGAGCTATTAAACACCATTGAGTAATTCATTCCAATATTCCAGTCCTGGCTAAGATCTTTTTTTTTTTTAATTCAGTCTTGGGGTCAAATTCTTTCACAGTCTTCTAAGCAGCAATTCAAATTAAAATCTCTCACGGTGCTGGTTCTTTTACTACAGATACTATTGCATTTGCCTCTGTCCCTCTGTCACCCAGACACGCACAATAACAGAGGTTTGCAGTTGTGTGGATTTAAATGAGGTAGACCTATTGCCCCGTCTTTGCAGACTCAGGGAAGATGGCTTGAAAGGTTCTGAGCCCCGGAATTGAGGAAAACAGCAGAGGAGATTAGGTATCCTGTGTACAAGGTGCACTCAAACACCCAAGTCTAAAAACAACCCAGCATTTGTAGCCTGCTTTGTTTCATCTTCTTAGTCTTTTGCAGGTAGGCCACATGGGTGAGAAGCAATGCTCTTCACCCTTGTTTGTCAATTTCCTTTGGGTTTTTGCAGGGCTTGAACCCAACTGGGAACTGACTGCCATTTCTCTACAACATCATCCCATGCCTGAGTAGCATGGCACACACCGATGGCGCTAACTGCAGGAGATTGGGGGTCAGGGGAGGAGCTGATGTCACCTCTGTAGCCTTCTATTCTACGAGAGCTGTTGCTCTCTCCCCCTCTAACTTATTGGAGTCAAGGCATCACCACGTTGCGTGTTGCTCATCCCCGGCAAAGATGCGATTGCCCCCACTCGAGCTTGTCTCAGCCCCAAGCAGCACAGCACGGAGACGGAGACGTCTGCAACACCAAACGGCCGACCAGTCCGCGGGTGAGATTTCGCCCACTGGGAATCCTGGGAGCTGATATCACCGTATCTCACACCTTACACATCACAAGATCTGTTACTTGTGGTTCAGCAAAAAAGAAATGTGTGGTCAGCACATGCTTGACGTTTCTTGGCATCCATTCTGATCTACTTGCAAAGGATCAACGAGAAACAAAGCATCCTACAACTCTGTAACCTGGTAGTTTTGACGACACATCACATGGACAGCAGTAACAATGGTGTCTTCCACTTGCTTTGAGATCAGACTTAGATCTGGTAACACACTCATTCAGAGCCTTTCTGTACACTGTGGTGCTCTGCGCCAATGGCTGTGAAAACAGTTGTTTCTGGAACGCACCCAGGTTCTCAGTGGGGAAAAAAAGAGAAAACATATGGCACTGTCATTAAAGGGAACATTACTATAATACCACAGTATAAATTATAGTAATGCAATGCTATAATTACTTTCAATGCCACACCCAGAATGTCTCAACTTGTGTTAAGTTTTTTCAGACAGCATCTCATCGCGAATGCATTAGAACAAAAAGAAGACCGAGCTACATTGCAAACATCTAAATACAACAGTCGCAGACAAACCTATAACACATTATTATCAATTTATCCAAAGCAATGTATATTTGTACCTATTTATGTAACTGGGCATTTTGCAAAAGTTCCTTGCTCACAGGTACGACAGAATCGCTTCACTTAGGATCTGAACCTACAACCTTCCAGTTATGAATTCAGAACCTTAAAGGGGAACTGCAATGTTTATTTTTTATTTTTATATTTCGGGGTTAGTAAGAATCAGCACTGATAAGTGCATTTCAAACCACAACAAAAGTAAAATGTACATAGTAACTTGTAAAACCTACAATTTCCATCACAAAATAGACTAAATTTCCAGGTATCCGCTGCGCCATGTTTTGGGATTCAAAACGAGACAACAGAACTTCCTGTTGAAGCAGCCTTATTACATTGTAAACAAGCAGTATTGTGAATACTGTACAGTACATCTCTTTTAGTCCAATTGCTTTCAATTTTGCTGATAAATACCACTTACTCGTTAACTTGCAGTTTACTTTGGGACATTTCTGCGGTGAAATATCTGCTGCACATCCTGTACTTATTTGCCTGTACATTAGTCATTGCGGTGACTAGTGAGCAGGAGGGGCCGCATCGCGTCGCAATTTGTCAGAATTTGAATGCGAGTTTGCGACAATATGGCCACTTACAGTACTTTCACAAAGTTCATAATTTTGTGCTGAATTTGAAATTCGTAACGTTTTTCTATAACGTCAACAAATTGATTTTGTTGCCGAGATTTAATAACTGGTCTGAGAAACCGGGACTGCAGCTCCTCTTTAACTGATGCTCCAAACTGCAAAACCTTGGGCCAATCTGTACGGACAGGACGACATGCACACAGGACTTTAAGAGAGAAGAGCACGGTTCTCCTCGAACCTGCTTCCATCCCGGTATGTGAGCAGACCTGCAGGGTCTTGATGGGAATTATCCCGAAAGGGAAGGTCAGGCGGTCACTCCGGCGCACACTCACGCGATGACGCCCATGTAGATGTCAAACTTCTTGAGGAACTCCGTGAGGGTGCCTGGCTCTTCCATGGTGAACATCTTCTGAAGGTTTTTCGCATTCTGCGCTGGCAGCGGGATATTCCGCCTCCTAGAAGGCATCAGTAAAACAGGACAAGATTTAGGCCAAATTTGTCTATCGTGACATATTCCAAATCCCTACACTGTATAGAGTGAAAGTGCTTCTAATGTCAAATAGCTGCATCATGGAAACTGTGCACCGTGAAGCGATGACATTTGATCCACAGATGTACGGAACACAGGACAGCAGGACACAGACACAGGGCTGGACCAGGTCATGCGATCTTCTGTGTCCATGATGGCTTGACTTTGTTGGACATGGCACACAGCTGGCAAAAGCCGGTCAGTGTCTAATGTCATTGTCCACAACAACTGTTCTCCAAGGTCCCTATTGTACATTAAACAAAATACATCACTACTGGGTGCACAGGTTTTACAATACTGTCACCTGAGCAGGTCAACTACATTATGTAAACCCTACTTGAACTATATGTAGAAAAGAACAATGTAAAAATTGCATTAACAGTGAAGATGGTATAACTCAACATCTGCTGAGGAAGCAGTTTCATCTGCTTGCATATTAACTGTTATTTAAATATTTTTGAAATGTCAAAACTGCATAGTAGACAGACAGTGAATAGCATCTGCTACTGTAGTCTGTGCAGCTGCTTTGGGGCGTGTGTCCACAAGGATGCCTAAAAACATGAGACAATCTCATACAACTGACCACAAACAGGCTGCAGACTCACTTTGCAACATCAAGAATGGTCTCCAGGCGAATAGCTCCGTCAAGGTGCACATGTAGCTCTACCTGCGGGGTAAAACAGGTTTAGCTGCTGTTTATCTTCACCAAGCTGGCTAGCTTCCAGAATATCACAGAGAAAACATAATTCCCATCAGGGCCTGTTTCAAGCAGGGACAACTGTAGCGGGCCCAGACAGGCTAGTCAAATACAATCTGAATGTTAATGTAATTCTTGTAATTCTGGAACAAAGAGAAAACAAAATATGAAATTGAATGTAGCGCATATGTTTGGAAAAGGTCACTGAGGAATAATGCTACCCCTAAATAAACACCGTTATGCATTCACCCTAGTTATTAGATTAATGTACATCGGAAAGACCTTTTCATTTTTCACATTTACATTTTTTTTCCATTTCACAGTGACATTTTTATTCTCGTTAACATCAAAGTGCAGGTGCAACTGTCTGTCAGTTTGAAGGACAATGCCAAAGTTTTTAAACACTGTCATCCCACCTCTATCGAAGATATGATTTGGAAAATGTCTTCAGTCTTTCTATTGGTTTAAAACAGCAAAATAAGTGTTTTTTTTCTTAAGGCATAATGTTGCATTATTTCCATTTGATCTCTTTGTGGTAGCTTTCACGTGACACAGTCTTTTTAATGTCTGCAATAGCACAGTGGTAGACATAACCACCTATCATGTGAAAAGCCACAATTTTACCCCAGCATCCTTGCCAAATTTCCCATTTGCCCCTTACTGTGCACATAGTTTGCCACGAATGTAAAATTGGTCAAGGAAAGAGCCAAACTGCATGTACAACCCAGAGTTCATTTTTGAAGTGGTTTATAGATTCCTTCAAGTACATACGTTTTCACCAAAATATGCACTCTCACACCTTTGATTTTGATTTAGAGGCTAAAAGAATGATCACAGAGAAACTATACGGCAACACTTTTTATGTACTTGTTTCCCTCCAAACATTTTAATAACTGTTGTTTCCTGATTCTTGGCCTGCTACACCTACTGAGAGGCATTTATAGTGCTATTGGTTGAGTACTTGTTTGTTGTGTTTTTAATGCCAATCAGTAGATACTGAGAGCAGACATATTTTCAGGTAGTGCTAGTGATTATAGTATTTTCTGGATTTCTGTAAGTTTTTAAGTGTGCTAGAGTCATTTTTACTAACACCAAAACTGCATTAAATCTAACTCGGAAAAAGAACAGTAGTTCTTTCCATTCAATAGATCCAAGCTGTTATTAAGGCTGAAGGGTGTTGACCACTTTACCCATTACTGGATCTTCTCCAGTTCCTGTTGTTTTCAGCTACGTTTAAAGAATATTTCTCCACAGGGAAGAAAGACTATCCATTGTTGTCTTAGACTGGCTTATAAAACTGCCCCAAGACTCCAGTAAGAGGTGCATTGTAGCTCAGAGACTTTGATGGAACTTTTCAGAAACCATGTTACCACAGCAACAATACAGGAAGTTACCGTTACACCACAGATCACTATTTTACCCATTTTAAAATTCAACATCCACGGTCTACGCTCATTTTAATTTACCAAGGATAAGACTAGGAGACATTTTCACAGCCCTACATCTCCCAAGAATTATAGATAAACAAATATAAAGTTAGTGTCTGCAGGAATCTGTAAAAATGAACAGAACTGACTGGTTTTTATGTACCTTGATCCCAAATGAGTCTGCCAGTATAAGACACCAACAACTCACTACAGTGACCAAGCATTTAAGAATGATGGTCTCACACAAGAGGAGTAAGTTATGACTTTTATCTTATAACCAGTCACTTTGTGACACATGTATTCCTTTTTTGTATTTCAACAGCAGTTTAAGATATGAACAGCTTTCTTCTTCTTGGAAGAATATGCATATTCCATTTTCACAAAAATATGTTCTGATACAGAATGAAAATGTAAATAAGGTTTCTATTAATATCTTAATGGGTTAGCAATATACTGAACTCAAGTCATCTAGCTTCCTATAAAACTGTAGCTGCTTAGTGTTTTGTATTTGAGCGGAATAAGAATCTGTAACCAAAATGTGTTTTTTTTTTGTTTAATTTAAATGTAGATTAAATTAAAATGCAATTTTTAAAAGTGAAAAATGTAATGATGACTGCCTATTTGTTGTTGACTTAATCTGTTGTCACTGTGCAAAGTTTCTTGAAGAGCGAGATGTTCCGTTTTGACAATCTTGTTTCAATAATCAGCTCCAGAGAAACCAGGAAAATAGCTTGGTGAGACACAGGACGCATTTTAGAAACCTCCATGGGACCAACTCGACAATGTCATCCATGGGTTTCAGCTGTGACGGGCCAGCTTTCTCCCATAGACTGCAGCTGCACAGGACAAGTGGTGAGATATCTCACAGCAATATCAGAAAATTCCACAGTAGTCTCTCCGGAACATCCCTCAGGAAGGGCTCAATTCTTTGACCAGTATTTCTGTTCACATTTTCTTTCATTTTGCTTGATAGCTAGTTTTTTATTTTAAATCCAATAACTGATCACATCCCTATGTTGCATTTCCTTCATGGATCATGATAGGTTTCAGTGACTGCTTCGATAAAAAGCGAGAGAATGTGGCTTTATGTGCAAAGATAGAAAGCATTTCTGACTGCCAGCTCACAAAACATTGGTGAATGGTTAATGGTGAAGTAACTGCAGAATAGCTGTTCTATTTTCCACATTGTGAGGTGTTTTGTTAAGAGAAACAGCCATTGTGTACTATCTGTCAGTGTAATGTAATGAAAGATAAAGCTTGATGTTCCCAATAATAATTCACACTGCACAGGCAGGGGTTCTGTGTGTCTGTGATCAGTAAAGTACAATAAGGCTCTGATTGGACTAGAGTCCAAAGATTTCAAGTGAATCTCCTAGCTATGGATGGTTTCTACTATAAACAATTTAAAGGGACTATCTGTCTGCATTGGAAACACTGGGGGTATTTTCAAGGAAGATGCTAAGTTTCCATATCGTCTTGCTGTTCTGCTAGGTAACAAATGACAAATATATCACAAAGTGTGAAGTACAGGGGCAAAGGGTAAAATGTAAAAGCCATGTTCTTTGAAAACTGTTCTGCTGGAGATTTCCTTGTGTAATTCTACTCTTTGCCTCCAGTGTTAACCTTTCCCTTCCTATGGTGTATGATTCATCCATCCATTTTCTAACCGCTTTGTCCCATACAGGGCCAAGGAAGAGCGAGAGTCTATCCCAGCAGGCAACGGGGCACAAGGCAAGGTACACCCGGGATGACACACCAGTCCATTGCACGGCACACACAGACACAAACACACCAGAGCCGATTTCCAAAGTAAGTCTTTGGACTGTGGGAGGAAACCGGAGCACCTGGAGGAAACCCAGACAAACATGGAGAGAACATGCAAACTCCATGCAGATAGACCCCCAGGTCTGGAAATGAACCCTGGGGCCCAGTGCTGCCCCAATGTATAATTCTATGGAGTGTATCACTGTAAGCAACAAACCCAGTTTCAAGAGTCCCATCCCCTAATAAGAAAGAAGTTCTGAAAGACACCGTGTCCAGGACTGAAGGGCATGCATAGAAATAAGGTAGAAGCATATTTCAGGATGAAGCAGAAAGGCCGTTATGTCCACTTTAAGTGTGGCTGATGTATGGACAAGGATGTCCATAGGATGCAGCGGCTGTTTTACTAGGACCTCCTCTGAGAAGACAAAATTTGATCCTACTTGTGATTTCATGAGCATCAGAGAGTTAAGGTGCCTTATTTCAAATTTCTCATTTGCATGCATTCCCACTCTTCGGAATGAGATACTTCAATGTGTATCAAACAAAATTCATACTGGAGATGCTGTGTTTTAGTATCTGTTTCAGTCTCTTGAACACTTGCTCCACTATCATCATTAAGTCTTTTTTTCTGTACAGGCTATTAATTAACAGGTGCTTTAGACATGAATAGATGTTCTTGTTCTGCGAAGATGTAGCCCTTAACAGTCAGCTGCATCACACTGTATAGAGCTTTGTGGTCAAAACCAGCAGCTTTTCACAGGCTGAGCTCTCCTGTACGCATTTCTTAAATATTCTATTTGAAAAAGTTCCAAAGAACAAGTGAGGCTTCTTCTATCATGCATCTGTGGAATTCTTTGGAGAAGCCAGAAGTGTCTCTGAGCTGCCCTAATCTGGCACCGAAGAAACCAAATTAGTTTACCATCTGATGTACTCTCCTCTTTCCTTTGTGTGGGTGGAGAGGTTCATCTATGTCATATTGTTTCCAAGCCCTTGAAAAGTTTCACTGAGTACTATTGAAGTCTACAACAATTCACTATTAAAACCACTATAATCCAACACTAGGTACTCCTTATTTTATGTGAAATGTGCCTGTGGTTATAGCTCATCGAGTCACTTTTCAAGATGTTTAAGAAATGTTCTCCGATTCGTATTGATATTACTTTTTAAAATGGTTTTCTTATTTTATTTTCAGTCCACCGCCTTAATTATTAAGTTGATGGAACCAGGCCAAAAAAAAAACAGCTTATATCTGCACCAACCAGTCAAGAAGGTTGACGGGCCTTTTTTCAAAAAGTTGTTTTTTCAGCTGACAAATATCCAAAGGTACGCAAAATACAAACAAGCCTAGATGGCCACCGATCTACTGTAAATCAAAACCGAAACAGCCCAAACTTTATTTTCCGGATGTATAAATCGAGCTCGAAATCTTAGCCAAGTGTCTTCTCGGGTATTATAGCAATATCAGATGAATATTAGATTAAGACAAAAAAAATGCAATAAATACAGAACTGATAATAATCCACCATTACTTTAATTCCTTTTAAGACCGAAGAAAGTTATTGAAACGGATGGCTTCCATCAGATGAATGCATTTAGTACAGGGGGTTTTCCCACCGTTCATTTCAGTGTATGTGTTTGATAATGGAATGATTATTAAAAACGAAATTCTAACACATTATTTCTGTTCAGGGGGATTATTTTTTAATTATTAAACGAGTCTCAGGCAGAGCTATTCAAAGGCAGCGCATATTCTCTCGGAGGGGTGGGGGTCTAGTCGAGAAGATGCTACTGCATGTATTACTGATCGATCTGAAAACCGATATGGCTGCAGTGAGTGGCTGCAGTGCTGGTCATTTCAAGAAACTGACGTGAAAATGATCTGTCGAGGTTTTCCCCTTCTCCAAGGGAATATTTTTTTTTAGATACTGGTTAAGCAGCCACACTATATAAACAGATTAAACGAAAAGGAAATAGGGTACGACAAACGACCGCCAGTATTTGAATGCATGTGTACAGTATAAGGCACCGTGACAAAACAACACCAGTGCAAAATGTACTTTACACACCAACATCAACAATAACAGAAACCGTCCGTCCACTGTCATTTTTTTTCCTGCAACTGGGACGCATAATTATAACAATCGTAATCCTGTCAATAATAACAATAACAATTAAGGCTCTGGTTGTTGTTGTTGTTGTTGTATCATCGACAGCAAGCTCAGAATAAATGCATTAATTTTGTTTTTGCTGCTTTCCTGGTTTTACAAAGACCGAGACGCTACAACTTTGCAGAGTTCAAGTTCGCCGTGCAGGTCCCGTGGTTTTCTGTAGTTGCACAGAGCTCCTTTCTTACGGAAAAGTCTACTCGAGCAGCAACAATACCGTTACAAGAAGGACAGCTCTTTTTGCGCTCTCTTTCCCCGCTTACCTTGGGCTTGTCAAACACGGCTTGTCGGCTGTTGCTCTCTGCCATATTGCAGTCGCGGGAAGTATCGCTGACTTGGCTGAAACTACAATTCAGAAGACAAACTGTGTGTTGCTGCTCACTGCCTGCAGCCCGCCAACCCAGCCTGTCTGCCTTCTCGTATTGCTGATAAATACATATCTAGCGCCAGGGACACGCCTTCCTCACCCCCCCGACCGCTTAGAGAGCGAGTATGGCTTTCTTTCCTGAACTTCGGCACTGAACCTTTATTGATCTGTTTCAATATTGTGGGAGCCGGGCTGGCCATGGGCGAGAGCGCTGACCGCAGCCAGATTAAATTGGTCTTCAAGCCGTCGGAACCACCACGCGTGGGGAAAGAAAGGGTTTAGCATAATCCGAATGATTACCCGCTCTGTGCAAACAAAGAAAGATAACGTGTGCCAATGATCTTTGGTTATTTATTATTCCACAGCATTCGGGGGATGGTTTTAAGTGAGAATGCTAACGTGTTGGGAGAACACAGGTAGGCTCTCTCGGTGATTGATGTCTGGATTGCTGCACGGTGAGTCCCCAACCTCCCACTCGCCAGCGGTCTCACCCGTGTACCCAGCGCATTTCAGATACAAAGACATTTATCTAAGCGACCCAGGGAGCAGTATGCCTGCGGAAAATGGACCCGTTCAACGCAAAGATGGAAGGAGAGTGTCGCTGTGTGCCGGAGTCTGGCCTGATGGAGGCTCTCCTGTGACGGTGTTGTCCCAGTTGGATCTGGTTCCTGTTCTGATTCTGACCCAGGCACTGTCTACAATCCTACAGACCTCAGGCGGGACTGCTGACATTAATAATAATTAATTTATAATTCCTTACACTTATATAGCGCTTTTCTGGACACTCCACTCAAAGCCCTTTACAGGTAATGGGGATCCCCTCCACCACCACCAGTGTGCAGCCCCACCTGGATGATGTGACGGCAGTACTCTCACCACCACCAGCTATCAGTGGGGAGGAGAGCAGAGTAATGAAGCCAATTCATAGAGGGGGATTATTAGGAGGCCATGATTGGTAAGGGCCAATGGGAAATTTGGCCAGGACCCTGGAGTAACACCCATACTCTTTTCAAGAAATGCCCTGGGATTTTTAATGACCACAGAGAATCAGGACCTCAGTTTTATGTCTCATCAAAGGACGGCACCTGTTTACAGTATAGTGTCCCAGTCACTATACTGGGGCATTAGGACCCACATAGACCACAGGGTGAGCACCCTCTGCTGGCCCCACTAACACCTCTTCCAGCAGCAAACCTTTTGAAAAAGTTTTTCCCAGGAGGTCTCTTATCCAGGTACTGACCAGGCTCACACCTGCTGAGCTTAGACATTGTCGATTCAGCACGGGTGTACAGCAATAGTTTAAGTAATCCAAAGGGAAGACAATCAAGAACTGGTGCTCTTTTCAAATAAAATTCTCAATTATAATTTAATATTTAATCAGAAATATTTATCAAGACATTCAGTACTTTATGTTTTAAAGGGTTTATTGGATGTAAGACACATGAACACATTTTTGTGGCCTAAAAGGAAAGGTTAAATGTTTCCAGTCGATTAAACAATGAGAAAACTGAACAAACCATTAAAACTCAAAAAAAAACTACAGAAGACACCAAAGAACTTTCACCTTGTTCACACTGACAATGACTGTTTGATGAACATTGATAAATAACAGTGTGGAACTGGGAACATTAGTGAAGTCCTCCAATGTTTTAGAAATGTGTAGACTGTAGAAAAAAATCATTTTGCCTAAATGTTTCTGCCGTTTTTAGAACACATATCATTTTTCACAAGTGAAATTCAATGGAAAGTAATATTCTTGTTCATAATAAGCACACACGTGCGTGCACTAATACTGTAAATGAACAAATACATAAAAAAAGCTCTTCTCACAAGTCTGGCTGTGTACAGACATACAGTACTGACCAGAAGTATCATGGTCTAAGATTAAAGCCAGCATTTAAGTTTTTAGTCAAAACCCCCTTTCTTGCCTTGTCTGATAAGGCTTTGGAAAACAAATCTGGCGTGTCTACACTACCAGCAAGTAGCACATGATAGATTCTTGTTCTATACTTAAAAGTAACTTATTTTGTTTTTGGTCCTTGTATTACCATAATGATGTAATAAATTAAATGTGATCCTTTATGTCATCATCAGACAGGAAAAGTCTGTTTGATAATGAAAGCACAAATACAGTGGGTATAAAAAACCTACAACACCCTGGTTGCATACTGTAAATGTGGTAGATAGAGTTGATAGCTGATAGAGACTTATTCACAAAGACTTACTGCTGTAATAAATGCAAAAGGTGCTTCCATAAAGTATCAGTTGGCGGGGGGTGTGCACACTTATGCAACCAGGGTGTTGTAGGTTTTGTAATTTCAATTATTTTTCCTAATAATTATCTATTTGTTTTTCTCTTGAATTTTGTTGGTTGCAAGGTCCCATTAAAGATGGAAAAATGATTTATCTTGATTTCTGGCTTTACATCACAAAAACCTGCAATTTCAATAAGGGCGTGTAGACTTTTTATATCCACTGTAGCTCAATGACAGAGCACCAGACCAGTGGCAGAGTTTAAATATCCTGGAATAATTACTAATTACCAGTTAAGTGGGGGCAGGCGGCTGCAGCAAGCGGCATGAGTAAGTCTTCATAGTCCTGGGAAGTTTTAGGAAAAAGAATAAGAGAAGATATTGATTTTAAAGTGGGTTGCACAATAGGCATTCAGATTGACAAGGAAGACGATATCATCCGCCGTATCTCAAGCTTCAACAATGTGGAGAACTGAGTAACATAACAATTGGTACTACAACAGAATTCAAATTAGCATGCAAACAAACAGGAGCACACAATTCCTTTATCTTCTAAGTAGAATTTCTCTGTATCCATCACAATTCTCTTGAAACCCTTGATTATGATTGATGACTTGAGCTACCCTGAAACTGACTTACTTCTACTTTTAATGAACGTGTGGATGAATTACTTAAAGTGCTATGAAATCATCATACTGTATGGGCCCCGGACATCATTGATGGATTTCTCTTGGGTAAAAACGAGAAACGTTTGACTAACGTTTGACTACCATAAGAGCATAATTGAATACAGGGTTAGTGTCATGCTTTACAATGAGGGGGATCAAGGTTTTGGTTTAACATGAGTCAAACTCTTATAGACAAGAGCTTTCTGTCCTACAAGAGAGTGATGTAGTTCAAATGATTTTACCCTGCTGAAAGCTTTCACCCCCACCCCCCATTTTAAATTTTCACCCAGTTGAGGCTCATTGCTGACTATGTTATCTCTATGTACCCTTGAGCTCTTTAACTGGCCTCCATGTACAGTAGATGTCAGCTGAAAGTTGAAAGAGTGCCCACTCTCCACCATGGTAGGGTCTCTGAGTGTAAATAGCTCTCTGAAATGGGAAGAACAATCTATATGCTAAGATAAGGAAAACAGCCTTAAGAACAACGGGACAAAGTCTTCTTTATAATTACTGATAATTGAAAATCTTTTATAGACACGGAGGCTTTAAAAATATATAACCTGCAATTAGAGGAAAATCTGAGCCTAATAAACCATTATGAAATAGTCCCTGGATTTAGCCTTTGCAAAGGTGTGGCTCTACAAAACTGATTAATAATTTCTTCTACTGCTTGTTAGTGAAAAAAAAAAAGAGACATTTCCAGAGCTGTTGCATCAAGTCACGCTGTGGAACTCGATAAAAGATTAACAGAGAGACCATGTCGCTCTTGTTACGTAAAGCCAGATGAAAGTGGTTATCATTTCACACACACGCTACTTGGCACTTCAGTTTTGTCTCTGGATTCATGGTCCCACTGTTACTCAACGCTTCAAGGCACTGCAAAACAAGCAGTGCAAACACGGCTAATCTTCACTTCTGCTGGGTCATTGCAGAGTTCCCCTCCTGCCCAGGGAGCTCAATAGTGAACATTGACAGGTCACCTGACTCGCTGAACAGAATGCTACACGTTTCTTGACCAACTGAAGATCTGCGCTGTGCTCTTTAAAACCACAGCCCCTTTCTTTTGTAAAACTATTGGAATTATTTTACTATCTGGTTGAGAATACATGTTTTAAAGGATCTGGCTTAAGGCTGCCAACCACCTCATTTTCCAAACCAGTTCAGAAAATTACCCACGAGTCCCTGACAGTTGACTGTGCCCCTCGTTCTCACAAATTGTATGTTCTTTGTTGTACTCTTATTCAATTGCTGTGCTGTTGCTGTTGTCCCTTCCTTTTCACAAATGTCTGTGTTTGACCATGGTGAAGATGTCACCATTAAGTGTCACCAATAACACTAATTACTGCTACATGCTTAATTACTGTAACTATGGCCTCACTCAACACTGTTTACTATCTGCTAGTGCCTATTAAAACAGGGGTCCCCACGAAGCAGCCTTCCTCTCACAGTGACGCTGTCCTGTACACAGTGTATCCTGCCTTGTGCCCACTGCTTGCTCCGGCTCTCCCGTGACCCTGAATTGGATGGAGCAGTTAGAATGTGGGTGGGCTGTAAATATTAAAAATACGATAGGGGAATTCCAGTGCCAAAGGCGTAGAGTATTAATTAAAGGTTATCTGGCTGTTATAAAACACATGTAACTTTCTTAACATGTCAATAATTTACAGAGTTACGCTGGCGTCCCCGGAGAAAAAAGGTTTATGGTATAATTATGTAAAAATTATCACACATCTCCCCAGCCCTGCTGGTGAGGAGCAGCACCGCAACTTAATACTGCCCCCCGCAGGCTCAAAAAGAAGGAGGGTGATGACTGGCTGTTGTGCTGCGTTTGGGTTAGCACCAGACACTACCCTTCGAAATCCAGACCAACAAAAATCCAAGTCTTGAAAACTGCCTCCATGTGGGATCTGAGCTGGGCTTGACTCAGCCATGTAGGCCTCTCTAGGACATTGTGGACTCCTGGGCATTTCCCCCCATCTCAGCCATTTCCCACTTAGCCTGGCTGCCACAATAGTGGGACAGCCAATTTGATCTAGGCTTCTACCGGACACTGATCATCTTCTCCGTGCTCGAAGGGATATTTAGCATGTGAATTTAAAGAATACTTCGCAAGGCACTGTATACATATAATGAGCAGCATGGTGGTGGGGTGGTTAACATTACTGAGGCCCTTGAGTTTAATTCCATGGTGCTCTCTGCACTGAGTTCTCCCCCTGTTCACATGGGTTTCATGTAGTTGATTCC